TTTAAATATACTTTTATTTACATATATGTACTGATTCCTTTCTATGAAGCACATAACCATCAATCTTCCTGTAGACCCACCAAGCGTAATCCCTCATATACATCTGTTTAATCCTTCTTCCCCCACAGGTCACCCATTGTGACGGGTACGTCTGTGTGTGGCATTAAATACAACGGTGGTGTGATTATTGCTGCAGATACATTGGGCTCATATGGTTCACTGGCGCGTTTCCGTTCCGTTTCGCGTATCATCAGAGTGAACGACCGAACGATTGTGGGCGGCAGTGGTGACTATGCAGACTTTCAATTCATCAAAGAGGATCTGGAAGAACTTCAGGTGTGTGTGAGGATGGGTATACGTGATTTGTATGCGAGTTTAGTCGGTTAGTTGTACGTGGTTTGTATGTGAGTACAATCGGTTTGATAAACGTGGTTTGTATGTGGTAAGTAGCATGGCTGGTGTAAACCACTATCTTGTCCAGGTGCATGTGTCTCAGCTATGATTGTCTAAGCTACTTGCGAAGCGCGTGTGTTGAGGAAAGGGGGTTCTCTTGGCTTAGCTTGTGTGCGTTGTCATGTTCGGTACAAGTGTGTTGACTGTTGTTGTTCTGAAGGAATAGTTAGGTATCTGTGTTAGCGCGCGTGTGTGTAAGGATGGGCCCCAGATGCGCGTAGGTAGGCTCTCACGTGGGGTTGTGTATCAACAGGCTCGGCAATGCGCAGTATTGTTATAGCTACCCCTATCGGCATGCACCCGCGATAGGGTATCAACCCTAATGGTATAGCTATAGAGCTTATGTCTCATACATGAGTAGAATATAGGGCTTATCATGTACACACTTCATTGTCACACATTACAGTTAGAGAACGATGAGGTTGCCGATGGACACAGTCTGTCGCCCAAGGCGATACACTCATATATTGGCAGAGTCATGTATGGCCGCCGCTCCAAGATGAACCCACTATGGAACTCACTCGTCGTGGCCGGTGTCGACAAAGACGGAGACGTGTAAGTGTGATATATATATA